TATCACTCACAATGATGAGACCGACGGTGAACAAGACATCGGCACTGAACGGGGCGAACATCTGCGCCCAGAAAGCGAGTTTCCAGTAGCTCCACGTTGGCGGCACGACGGCCATGAGGAGAGGCGAGATGGCGCAGATGAAAGCGGAGCCGGCGACGAGCCAGCGGGCAGGGACTCGGTGGACGAATAGACCGACGGATATTTGGATTAGGACGCCGGCTAGGAGATTGGGGAGGAGGTAGAGGGATGTTGCTAGCATGGAGGCGTGCTGGACTTCTTGGAAACTGGACTTGGGGTTAGATATTGACTTCTGGCATGTTACGCAGCAAGATGGTGGGTGATGTTGGGGCATACGTACTACAGACTGGAGAAGAGCTCAATGGAATTCATGACGCCATAGGAGAGTGCGACCATGATACATGTGCTCGCAAAGGGGAGACTGTTCCACAGCTTGTTCGGTACGAGGGCTGTTTTTCCACGTCGCTCACGATAGTGCATCCAGGCTGGAAAGGCGCAGAGAAGGAGGATGCTGATAGTGAGAAGCGAGGCCGTCTCGGCTGAGCGAATGCTTGTCAGGTCGGCACTGATGATACTGCTTGCTGTTAGCTCTTGTCGAGCACGGGAGAACAAGGAGAACACGTACGCAAGAACATATGCCAGAATAGCCAGCCCACCACTAGATATCATACCACCAACCCAATCAATCTCCCTACCAACCTTCTTCCAAAGCGCGGCCACACCATCCTGATTCTGAGAAGGGAGTTTAGGAAGCGTCCAGACCGCAGCCACAGCAACTGCCAACGTACACCCTCCAGTCACGTAAAACCCTAACCGCCATCCCGCTCTTTCAATCATAACACCACTCAACACCAACCCCACAGCAAACCCAAGCGGCTGACTGAACCCCAAACACGCAAACCCAAGATTCCTCGCTCTTCCAGACGGAACAGCACCTGTGATGATGGCGACAGATGCAGGTAAATGCAACGCAAGCGCCACGCCTTGGAGAGCCCGGAAAGCGACAAGCTGCCCGCCGGTCTGTGCAAACCCGCATGCTAGCGTGAAGACACCGAGGAAGATGATGCCAGTGAGCTCGACAGGTCTAGCACCTACTATATCGGCTACAGAACCAGCGATGAGAAGTGCGGCGCCGGATGTGAGACCATAGACGGAGGAAGGCCATAAGTAGAGAGAGCGTTCGAGAGCGATGGAACGTGCAATTGAGGGGAGGCCGACTGTGATGATGCCGTTGGTGAAGCTGGCTATGAAGCCGACGAAGGAGGGGGTGAAGATTGTGAGGAAAGTCCGGAGGGTTGACGGTTTGGAGAGGGATGATGTGGTGGATGATTCGGTGTCGGATGTGCAGTGATAGTAATTCGAGACATCTTGAGATGGCCGTGGTGGATGGTAGGTGGGTTTTACGGTTGTGGTCTTGGGTGTTGGCTGGAGCTCGAAGACCTCAATCGCTGTTTGTGTCTGTGTCGCCATCTTCCAACCTTTTCAACGGGATATGAACGTCCAGTTGTTCCGGTTCTAGAGTGGAAAGAACTTGTTGAGGATATTACAATGCTCATACATTTCTAGCAGGTTCGTTGAAAATTGTGGTAGAGGAAAGTCTTTGGTGACTAGCTTCACGCCCTACAACGGGCGACATGTCAAAAGTCAGGGTCCACTATTTGGGTCGAGAACTTCGATCATCGGGAGAAGCATGGGGAGGAAAATGCATTCATTGTCAGCTGTCAGTGATGCAGTCGCATCCATTGAGGTTGAGCGCAGGGCGTTCACGGGTTGCCAAGGCTTTCCTGGAGGATGCTTCGGATGCAGGTACAGGAGAAGGGACGACGGCGCTAAAGATTTCGCTGAGTTTACGACGGTTACTACGGTATGCGCGAGACATGAGACTAGTCCGGGGATGTGGACTTCCCGCAAAGACGTGATGCAGGGCGCTGCAAGCCCTTTATGGGGCTCTTCGCGAAGGCGATCGTTGGCGCGCATGGCCTCACCGCCGACTTCAATTCTACGCGTCGCGTCAAAAAGCGGTAAAGAAAAAGAGGGCAATTGTTGAGATGGTGTGCTGTACCGTCTGAACTAGACAGGTTTCTAATCAATCGCGGGACGCCGCGTGGCATTCAACTGGATTGAAGTTGGCGGCCGTGCTGTTGCTGCATCAACGACTTTGTTTGGGTGACGTCGGCTCGCGTCCCCAACCTCGTCCTAACCTCCTGCATTTGCCCACCAGCCACCCGCACCCAACACGCTCCAAACCAAAAGTTAACGGGAGCCACGCTTCCACGCTCCAAACCCCACACTACACATTACTACCAACGCTACAGAATACTCTCTGACTACTTTCTGCCAGTTGCATTCGCTGTTCGACTCGCTATAATCGACCTGCACCTGCGAAAACACCACCACCACCCTCTCGCCTACCATGGCGCCCCATCCCGACATTGCCGCTGACGGGCAGGCACTCTCACCCATGGCCGTGAATGCTCTGCAGCTGGCCAAGTCAATGGTCAAGCGTGACCAACCTGAGCCATACAAGAATCTCGCCTCAGCAGGCGCACGCCCACCCAACGATCTCTCCGGACCCGGCTTCCAGGCTCTGTTTGCTCTCATCGGTGTCGGTCTCGCCCTTGGAGCCATCTGGTTCTTCTTCTGGGCTAAGAACGGTGGCTTCAAGTGGCGCGACAACGACTGGGAGGACTACAAATCAACTGTGCTGAGACGCAAGGGACCTGACGGAAAGACGCTCTCCAACGCAACCAAGAGCACCAAGCTCGGTGGTGGCAGTGTCGTCCACGGCGGTAGCTACTTCGGCGAACAGAGCGAGCTCAACTACACGGACGAGTCTGGTACTAGTGTCGACCCCAACGAATACCGCGACGCCGAGAGGGGCGAGGGCGGCCTTCGTGGCGGAGATGGACGAAGGCATAAGAAGCACCGCCGCGACCACACCAACGACTACAAGGACCCTGAGCTCCGCAAGTACCGCGAGGAGAAGGCTGCCCGTGTCGGTGGCCTCAACCGCGTTGGCGATGGCATGTACACCGACTACTCCGGCTCTCAACCCTCTGAAGTCGGCGGCTCCCAGGTCTCTAGTAACGCACCGCTTGTAAAGAAGGACGCCAAGGAAGTCAAAGACCCCAAGAAGGAAGCCAAAGCCAAGGAGATGCGCGCAAGGGAACGCATGCGCAAGGCCAAAGCCGCCGAAAAGGAAGCCGCCAAGAAGGAAGCCGCTGAAGCCAAAGCCCGCAAGGAAGAACAAAAGGCAGAGGCCAAGCGCGCAAAGGAAGAGCAGAAGAAGTCCAAGAAGCACGGCACACCCTCCGAAGCTCCCGAAATGGCTGAAGTTACCCGCCCCATGATCGAGTACCGTTCCCCCGAGAGTGACTACACCCGCGCCTACACTGAGTACACCGCCCCATCTGAAGCCGGCACACCAACACGCGCTCCCACAAGGAGCAAGGCCCCGTCTGGACCTCGCCGTGCTCCTCCTTCCGCAGCGTACTCTTTCACCACTGGCGACGACGACACCGCAACCGTCTACACTGGCGTCTCTACCTCTGACTTCGCCAAGCCGCCTCCTCCAAAGGCCGCCCCCAAGACGGAGCGCAGCGCCCCCTCTGAAGTCACCGAGTCAAGCTACTACTCCGACTACCGTCCCAACGCCGACAAGTCCCTCTACTCCGACCCCAACAAGCACGCGCCCCGCTCCCGCTCAGCCCGCCCATCTCAAGACCGCCCCTCCCAAGACCGCACCTCGCGCTCCGGCCGCCCAACCTCCGAGTCTCGTCCCCGCCCCTCAGGCTCGCGTTCGCGTCCCACCTCTGAGTCGCCTCGCAAGCAACACCGCACTTCGCGCCCTGCTCCCCCTCCATCTGACATCTTCACCACTACCAACGGTGATTCTCAGGGCCACATGAGCTACCCGTGCCATATCCCCGGTCTTAGCCAGGCCGGCAGTGTGCACCCCATGGAGAGCGTGTCTCAGGTCGGTGTCCCGACTAACGCGAGGAGGGAGAGGGGCGGCAGAGATGTCATGGATGGCTACCGTCGTGGTGGTGTCCGCGCTGTTGGCCGAAGGGACAGCTTGAGCGACAGCGACTAGACTGCTTCGCTTCCTTCCCTTTCTCTTCAGTAGTATGATTCGGCATTGCATACCCCCTTCTTGGCGTTATTTGGGCTTTTTCTTGATAGAGCGATTTGACTTTTCTTTGAACCGAGGGTTTCAACTTTGTACAGCGAGCGCGATGAGAGATTGATGCTATGGATTGGATGTACAGACTTTGGACAGGGTATACCAGTGATGGATGGAACGACGATGGAGGTCTCTGAACGAATGAAGGTTAATGACCTTGTATGTAGTAACACTCAAAGCAATACATGATGACACGGAAGTCACGATAATCAAAGACATTCTCTCCCCATACATTTCACCTTGAACATTATGTGATGCACATCGACCACCAACCTCACTCTCAATCACACTCAACACAGCACAGCAAATAGAAACACACATCTCAGTCGAACGAAAAGGGTATATCACATTACTCTCTCCACTTCTTCCGTCGCAGAAAAAACGAACTAGTAACTAGACTACAACGCTAGAGCTTGCTTGCTTGCTGGCATAAGAACAAAAGCGGAATCCAGTCGGGCTAATCCTGAGAAAACGCAAGAGCAGATATAGAGAAAGACAAGAGACTGAGACTGGTTCATAGCTACATACATAGGCATTACCTCGTTGGTTTTCCTGGTTTCCTTTCCTTCCTTTCCGTGTTCCGTGGTTCGTGGGCCAGGTCAACTGGCCTTGGTTGTGGGTGGTGTGTTTGAGATGATAGTGATGGGGTGTGTAGGGTGGTTGGTCGTTACGATTGTGGTGGTGGGGGTGTTTTGATGACATATTGGTGTCGTGTCGTAGCGAGTGTGCTATCTTGTGATGTGTTGAGAGTATGATGATGATTTGGAGATGTAAGAAACAAGCTCCCTCCACCGATAGTCTACAACTCATCCCTCACAGCTTGAGTGGCCTGAGTAGCGGCGCTGGAGATACTGCTGACAGCTTCTTCAGCGCTACCAGATGCAGCTGCGTACATGGACGCAATACGGCTGTTGGCGGCGGCTACGGCGTCGGCGATGCGGCTGTTGGCAGACTCCATGGCTCCTTGCTCAGGTCCGTAGACGGCGGAACTGGCTGCTGAAGAAACGTAGGCTGCGTTCTCACTAGCAGCAGAGGCAATGTACTCCGCGTTGACACTGGCTACAGACGAGATTGAGCTGTATACACCACCGGCACTGCTTGTGGCTGAGGCGACGTAGTCGGCTGCTGTAGGCGTGCCGAAGATGGCTTCGCTGATGGCAGCTTGGGCGGATGCCGCGGCTGACGAAAAGCTATCTTGAGCTGATTGTGTTCCGTAGAGCTTCTCGCTCACTTGAGATTGGATGGAAGAGTAAGCGCTCGCAACTGACTCGCTGGCCTGCTCAGCGGCACCCTTGGGCGTTCCGTAGAGAGCGACAGAAGCACTCTCAACCGCAAGATCCAAAGACGCACTAGCCTGGCTCAGAACATCTTCAATCATAGCCGGGGGAGTAAAGACGGCGCTGACGACTGACGAAGCAGAAGCATACGCGTCTGCAGCCGCGTCGGTGACAGCATCGTAACTATCGCCCGCGTACGAACTAGCAGCGTTGATACCTTCACTGGCATAGGACTGGGCAGAAGCCATGGCTGCGGGCAGACCCGTGGAGTAAGCGGAAGCGAAGCGGTTCATGACGCTCTCGGTGAAGTCGGGCTCCTTGCCAATGACAAGCTCTGAGATAAGAGCCTGGACCTCGGCATATTGTGCAGCAGCGGCAGCGGTAGCCTACGTGTATAAAGTCAGCATATATCTCAAAGGGGGTTTATTCATCGGACGGAGTTCTTACCTGAGCACCGTAAGCGCCAGCTTGAGAGTATACAGACTCTGCCCATGGTGTAGGCTGGCCGTAGACCTGGCTACTGGCCTGAGCAATGAGTGCCTCCCAGTTCTGGCTGGCTTGAGAGGCGACCGATTCAGTCCACGGGGTTTCTGAACCGATGACACCAGAGCTGACTTGGGAAGCGGCTGACTCAGCGGCAGCTTGGGCGTTGGCGACAGCCGACTGTGCTGAACCAGACACGTACGACGCGGCAGATTCGGCAGATCCAGATACAACAGACGCAGCAGAAGCGGCCGATGCGGACGCCACCGGAGCCAAAGACTCAATCGTGCCTTGCTGGGGACCGTATACAGCGCTCGATGCAGCATCAGTAAACTCCGAATAACGGGCATGCGCCAGGCCCACAGCTTCGTAATACTGTCGGCGAGCGCTGTCAGCGACACCGGTCGATTGAGGTGCGGCAAACTGAGCAGAAGCCTGGCTGAGGCCCTCAGCGAGGCGAGATGATGCGATGGAGGAGACCGACTCAAAGTAACCCTGGGTTGGGCCGGCAGCGTAGCTCTTCACTGATTCAGTGTATTGCATAGCATTCGACAATCGCTCACTAGCGACTGCGAGGGAATCGGAGTAGGCCTTCTCAAAGTAGGAAAGCATGGTTTGGTGCGCAGGCTGGGGCTCTCCAGAGATCAGAAGAGACATTTGGGCCTTCGCATTCTCGAACTGCTTACTCGCAGCGCTAACAGCATCATTGTATCGTGAGTTTGCCTCGACCTGAACAGTCTTGATTATGGCTGTAGGCGTTGGGGTACCGTAGATCGCGTATGATGCCGCAGTCACGGCTTGAGCATACTTGTCGGCAATGACGCTGGTCGCACTCTCAACAGCCGGTTGCTCGGTACCGTACAGTACGCTTGATGCAGCAGCAAGAGCACTTGCGTACTGCTCGCTTGCGATGGACGAGGCAGACTCGACGGTACCTTGCGTCTTGGCAGGACCGAGGAGCGCTTCGCTGACCGCTCGGCTCATCTCAGCTGCTCGATCTCCAGCGTCGGCGACCACGCTCTGTACCTTGCTAGAGTATGTGTCGACTACTTCGTCGTCGTCCAGAGGTTCATCGAGTACAGGTTCCCGCGCTTCAGCGATGATTTGCGCATTGGCTCCACCCCAGACCTTCTTAGGCGATTCGTAGGCTGCGGAGGCCTTCGATGCGGTGTCATCGATAACTTCAGACGCCTTGGCGGAAGCTTGAGATAGCAGACTCTCGGATGAAGGTTCACCATAGATAGCCTCAGATGCTTGGGACGAAACATCAGATGCAGCTTGTTGGACGGAGGACGCAACACTCTCAGCGAGAGGAGTTGAGCTACCTGATACGGCCTCTACAACCTGCGATGAGGCTTTGGATGCTGCCTCCTTGACAGAGGATGCGATACTCTCGGTAAGAGGTGTTGAGCTACCCTGAACGGCTTCGGACGCTTGCGAAGAGACGTCGGAGTACATGTCCTTGGCAGACGATGCAATACTCTCAGCAAGCGGTGTCGAGCTGCCTTGGATCGCTTCGGCAATCTGGGACGATGCACCCTCAACGTTATCCATGACTTGCTGGGCAGCCTTGCGGACACGAGGCGCAAAGACCTTGTCAGAGAAATCATCGCTAGCATCGCCGGCCCAGATCTTAGACTTGGAGACATCCTTCAAGCGTACCAGCTCGGCAACCATGTCCGACGCAATGGCCATAGCCTTGTCTTCAAGCTTCTTGGACTCTTCGTGGGCCACGCGAAGGCCTTCGTGCCTGTTGCCAACGGCTTCGACTTCGGCCTGCCATTCGTTGAGCGTGTTCCTGAGCTTGTGGTAGTTCTGCCAGTCCTTGTATGTGACGCCATCAGTCCACGCCCATCGCATGCCTACTTCTTGGAGACCAAGGCTGTGGATCTTCTCAAGTACTTCAACAGTGCTCCTGACAGCAGCTTGTACCAGGGAGTCAGTCTCTTGATCGTATGATGCCTTCCAGACACGGATGTCCTGAGCGCGCTCCTTGACGGTGAGACCGAACTCGCGGGTCTTGGCGCCGCAGTCCTCGTACGCAGCCTCAAGCTCGGCGTCTGAAGCATCCTCTGGAAGTGATTGAATAGTCTTCTTGATGTAGCTCTTCAACTTAGCAATGGTCGCGTCGGCAGTCTCCTCTAGCTTAACAACCAGAGCCTGGCCATGTCCATTGACAGCATTGTCGACCTGTCGCTTTGTGATTTCCGCGACGCGTACCTCGAGATCTTCCGAGCCCTTGTCTGCGGCTGTAGCAAACTTGGTCTGCCAGTCGCGGAGGTCCTGGTTGAGCTTCTCTTGTAGTTCAGCACCGGTGAGCTTAGGCTCAGAGGGCTTGACTTTGGTTGGTTTTGCTTCCAGCTCGTTGGAGGCTGTGCTGGCTGATTCGCTGCCGAAGAACTCGTCAAGGACACCCCAGCCAGATCCCTCAGTAGAGCTGGGAGGGACAATAGAGGCGGAGGAGCTTGCGATGGTGGGAGTGTCCTTGGTAGACTGAGATGGGAGACTCGTCTCAGCATCGACGGCAGAGACGACAGACTCAATCTTCTGCTGGTCCCTGTAGCGGCCTAGACGCTCAGAGATACGAACCAACTGAGGCTCGACGTTGTCTCCGTATAGCACGCGCAGCTGGGGCCACACAGTGCGGAGGAGGAAGGCCCAGGTGGCATCTTTTGCGGTGTGGACATGGGGATAGACGATGTCGACGAGGACGTGGTGGCCATATGCGTGGCCCTGTTGGAGGTAGGGCTTGGAGCGCTCGTAGGCCGGGAGCAGTGTCAGGTGGTAGATCTCTTCGGAGCTAGTCCTGAGGTCGTTGTAGTACGGGGCAGCAGCATCCGTCGCCTTCTTGACATGAGGACCTAGGTATACGTCGTACTGGCCCTTGATTTGCTTTTGGGCATTCTGCAGCTGGGGCTGGACAGACTTCTCGTACTGGGCCTCTGCATATTTCCTGGCATGCTCGACCCTGTGTGCGCCGTAGGTTGCGTAGTTGTCCTGAGCGAATGTGGTGATGGGCGTCGTGTAGGGCTTGACCTTTTCAATCTGCGGGGCGACGTAGGTCTCGTAGTAGGGGTCGAGATAGGGCGCAGCGAAGGACCGGGTCTGCAAGTAGGGTTTGCACACGCGTGGAGAGTCGTGGTTGAGCTGGTGGAGCGATGTGGGACACCGGAACAGGAAGGTGATGATGAGATACCACGTGGAGAGTCTCGCAATCATGCTCGTGAAGGCGCCCACGAGACTCCGCCTGGGCTTCCGCGAGCGAGCGGACCGCGAGGTGAGCTGCGTCTTTTCTGCGTGGCCGTTGGCGGTGCCATTGGCGGACCCGTTGAGGCTGCCATTTTGTTTGGACTTGGTCGCCCTTCCGTTGGCCTGGGCGGCCATGCTCGCGTGTGGTGGACGATGAAGCGGTGACGCTGTGTGGCTGACCAGCTTCTGCGTGTGCGTATTAGTGGTACTGCCGCAGCAAGTCGGGGTCTGGCTACGTACAAAAATCAGCGACAGGCGGCAGCGTCTGGGTTGTTGATGTCTCTTGAATAATGGCGATGGCTGCTCGAAGTAACTTGTCTGTTAGCGCTGGGGGGACGACAACCGAGCTGCAGCAGTGATGTAATTGCACGTGCGGACGCGGGAACACGATAGCAAGATCAAGGTTTGGACATGCGATAGGCGGTAGGGAGCGCTCAATTACGCGATAGGGCGAGAGAGACGGCAGAGGAAATAGAGTCTCTGAATCTGCCTGTCGCGATTTCCCAGTCCCAGACATGTCGAGTGCCTCAGGCTGCCCCTGCGGTTCGCGTCGTCTCATGTAGGGCTGGATGCCTTCACCCGTGCTGTAGGACCCTGTGACGCTGATCAAGCACCGAAGACACGCCATGCATGTGCAAATCCGATCGCCTGTCCCAGGTACCAGACTAAACAATTAATTGTCCCTACACGTGCACTAAGTGGCTAGGTTGCCATCGCTCTGCCAGGGGCCCGGGGTGCTCGAGTGCCAAGACCGAGACTGTCTGGCGGCGGCGACATCACCACTTCTGTCGCCAGAGCTGCTACACGCAACCACGGTTCCGGCCGCATCCACCCTTGTGCGCTTTCCCCCCAGGTCTATTCACGTCCCTAATTCCCTGCATCTGTATTGTCCTTCTTCGCGCAGCGCTGCACGCCCTGTCCTCTTCACGCCGCTCCCTCGCTGCGATTCCGATGCCTACTTGAGCTCGACTTGTGCGGCATCTGCCCGAACCCGAACCATATCTTCCGATTCGATACAACCCACCTCTTACCACGTGTATACTTTTAATCCCCCTCCGCCATGGCAACCGATGCCGAACCCCTCACCGCGGGGCTCTTCGACGATGCTCCCGCGCACGACAACGCCCCCCAGACTTCCGACGACCGAGCCATGGACAAAGACGAAGCCGACACCTGCCGGATATGTCGCGGGGAAGGCACCACCGAGGAGCCTCTGTTCTTTCCCTGCAAGTGCAGCGGTAGCATCAAATACGTCCACCAAGAATGCCTGATGGAATGGCTGTCCCACACCCAGAAGAAGCACTGCGAACTGTGCAAGACATCCTTCCGCTTCACCAAACTATACCACCCCGGCATGCCGAATCGCATACCCACGACTGTCTTCGTACGCCGCGCCGCTCTCCACGTTCTCAACATGTTCACAACCTGGTGCCGAGGGGTCCTAGTAGGCGCTGTCTGGCTCTTCCTACTCCCCTGGTGCATGCGCGTCGTATGGCGCAGCCTGTTCTGGGTCGGTGATGGTGGCTGGTCACAAGACATGTTCACCGACACACCTGAGACGTCAGTAATGCCCGCGACCGGTGGAGGACTGGCCCCTAGCGATATCGACTTGATACGCTCCGCACTCGATACCGCCAAAAGCAGCAACTCGACGGTGCATGTGGCAAGTACCGTCGGGCCCATGAAGATAACATATACTCCAAACAACTCCACGGCTAGCGAGTCCATCCTCTGGACCTACGCCAAACGAGTCTTCTTTGGTGTCCCATACCCCTTTTCCCAGCTTGCACAAGCCGACAGAACAACCACCCACGTTTCTCTCGTCGACATGAACGGCACCGTTTCCAATACTACCTCAGACCATCTCGGTATTCGCAGCCCGTCACTACTCTCTGACGTCCCCTTCTTCAACTGGTTCCAATCTCAAAGCGCCAATCGCTTTATTGTCGACGTGATAGAGGGGCAGATCATCACTCTACTCGTTGTCGTCGCATTTATCCTTGTCTTCTTGATCCGGGAGTGGGTGGTTCAGCAACAGCCTGTCATCAACATGGTTGCTCTTGGTGACAATGCTGCTGCGCAAAGGGCTGCCATCATAGAAGAGGAGGCTATCGTTGACAACGTGGTCGTTGATGAGGGCGAGCTGGAAGACGCTCTAGACGCTTTGGACGCCGAAGTGGCCGGAGAGGCCACGGATGTGGAAGGTGCTCATGAACCTGGAAATGCGCACGAAAACGAGCCAATTGCACCTGGAGACTTCACTCGCGAGAACGATGAGCCCGAGGCTGCCGAACCTACGATACGCCGCGTTCGCCGGTCTTCCTCGCTCCGCCGAGAACGCGACGAGCTTGTTCGCAACATAGTACGCGAAGGTCTGTCGGGTGACTTGAGGTCAATGATGCAATCGGATGAGCTTGCGGATGCCTATGACGATGGGGTCCCATCCCAGAGCTTTAACGAGGCTCTTGAGCGGGCGATGATGGAAGACGGCGAGGCTAGCAGCTCAAGCTTTCCGGCAAGAACCTCGTCACTCCACCAACCTTCAGGCGTAGCACCAGATGCTGAAGGTTCCGAGTCGTCTTCATCTTCGCACAGACCAAACATGCCAGCACGCGATAAATCCTTTATCGCGACAGAGATCCGTCGCGGCCTAGAAGAGGGTAATACATGGTCTTTCGAGAACGTACCAGAATCGTCAGCTTCGAACGAGGAAAGTACTGAAAACGTACCCGAATCGTGGGAAGATGACGACAACGCAGACCAACGAGCCGACCAAGAACCCGAGGCTGCATCGGACCATGAACCGGATAGCGAGCACAGCAGTGGAAGCTGGCAGCAAGTCCCTGAGGCTGTAGAAGATGACTCCGACCAAGCGCTGGAAGGAGAACATGTTCTCGACAAGGGTAAAGCTAAGGCTGTCGACGCCAGTATGGAGGATAATCTACACGAGTCAACGTCTTCCGCACAAAGCAGTTCTACTCATCTGGACAACTCAATTACGGTCGATACTACGATTGAAGTCGACAACAGCAGTAGCCAACCTGACCAAGACTCGACCACCCGCGAAGACGAGGAACATTCTGAAGTGGGTCAGCAAAACCCGGACGAGCAGCCTGCGGCTCCAGCCAACGCACAACCGGCAGCACCTGAACCTCCACAAAATCCAGTGAACCAAGTATTGGACTGGATGTTTGGAGACATAGCACCGATGGCACAACCTGCCGAAGAAGGAGGCAACGATGAGCATATCGTGCGCGATCTTGCAGACGAAGCGCCTTTTGTGCCCTTTTTAGGGAACGAACCGCGGGATCATGGCAATGCTGCGCCCCAAGATCCTGAAGTTGCTGCTGCTGCTGCACAAGCTGGCATAGATGTCAACGACCAGGAAGCGATTGAAGACGCTGAAGACCTGGAAGGTATACTTGAGCTCATTGGTATGCAAGGACCCATTGTCGGTCTTTTCCAGAACGCCCTGTTCAGCGCCGTGCTGATCACCTGCACACTGGCGTGCGCTGTATGGGTTCCTTATCTCTGGGGTAAATTCGTCATCATAATGGTGGGAAGTCCTCTCGAACTCCTCAAAATTCCTCTACAGGTGGTCGCTGCAGTGACGGACTTCATAGTCGACGTCACACTCTTCCTCGTAGCTGGTACGATGTACTGGAGTTCTTATGCCGTCTCCAGTCTGGTCAAGCTGTGTTCTTTGGGGAAACTGTCTCAAACCATAGATGGTCCACTCCGGGCAGTATCTACGCCAGCATACTCCCTTGCAGAGAGTGCCATGGTTCGCATCGGGAAGATGTTCATGGATTCACCGTTATCGTCTCAGCCCAGCTACACCCAATTCACGCTCAACGCACACGCTTCACTACGAAGCCTGCAGAACACGACCTCATTTGCGCTCAATGAGACGAGCAGCTTTGCAAACGCCATCATCGAAGAGATCTCAGCAGACTCGCCGCCCAAGCTTGTGCTGAGGGTTCTTGGACGCCTTCCCTCGTTGATCCAAGATATCTTTACGACTACCTATGGTCAGTGCAGCTCTCTGCTCTCATGGCTTTGGACGGCCAAGTCGTACAAGATCACCATTGATCTAGACTCGAACAGCAGCACCGATGCAGCATACACTGCATTGGAGCGATGGACTGCGAGCGACCGCCTGATCGCAATACTTGCTGGCTATGGGTTCTTCGCTTTTCTTGGTGCGATATATCTCAGGCGCCGCACACCTTTCAGCTCGTCACAGCAAGGACAAAGGATCGAACGCATCCTCTCTGACATACTACAACAAGCCGGAGGTGTGCTCAAGGTGATCCTTATCATCAGTATTGAGATGTTGGCATTCCCGCTGTACTGCGGGCTGCTTCTCGACTTGGCCATGCTCCCACTATTCCAGAACGCTACGCTGTACAACCGGTGGCAGTTCGCGAGAGAGAGTCCATGGACATCTGGATTCGTGCATTGGTTTATCGGTACCTGCTACATGTTCCACTTCGCGCTCTTTGTGTCCATGTGCCGCAAGATCATGCGCAAGGGTGTGCTGTACTTCATCCGCGACCCAGATGATCCGACCTTCCATCCTGTCCGGGACGTCCTAGAGCGTAGCGTTACGACTCAACTTCGCAAGATCGCCTTCAGCGCTCTTGTGTATGGAGCACTCGTTATTGTATGCCTTGGCGGTGTCGTATGGACCTTGAGTCGTGCTACTACCAACGTCCTGCCAATCCACTGGACTACCGAAGCTCCATCACTGGAATTCCCGCTCGACCTTCTCTTTTACAACTTCCTCACGCCGGTCATCATCAAGTTCTACAAGCCTAGCGAGGGTCTGCATGCCATCTACAAATGGTGCTTCCAGAAGTGCGCTGGATTCCTCCGCCTGTCCAACTTCCTCTTTGGCGACAAAGTTCCTGCGCAAGAAGGCGACGATGGCCGATACGTTCGTGCACCCGCTTCCGATCAAGCTCGCATCCCCAAGGGCCAACCTGTCTTCGTCGAAGTCGACCGCGACAACGTGCGCAAAGACGGAGAGAATGAGGGCGGAGTGCACAACTCTGATCTCGTGTCAATGGTATTCATCCCACCATGGTTCCGCGTGCGCATTCTCTGCTTCATCGTCACGATATGGATCTTTATGGGTCTATCAGGAGTAAGCGTAACGATCCTACCCCTCCTCTTCGGCCGCTATCTCTTCTCGCTCTTCCTTCCACCAACCGTTGAGATGAACGACATCCACGCCTTTTCTCTCGGCGTCTACACGCTCGCCAGCATCGGCTACTCTGCCTACCACGCCTTCAAGTTCATCTCCTCGCTCAATCGCTCCATTCCAGACCCCATGTCCACACTCCAGAGCATCGCAGCAACGACCTCGCGCGTTGGCGGCCGAGCCCTCCGCTTCTCATACGTCTGGGCAACGCTCATCTTCGCCATCCCCTTCCTCTTTGCCGTCCTCCTAGAACTTTACTTCCTCATGCCCCTGCACGCCTACCTCGGCCCCAAGGAACCCCACGTCGTCCACGTCATCCAAGACTGGACCCTCGGCTTCTTGTACTCCCGTCTCGCCGCACGCCTCGTCTTCGCGAACCGCAACTCCCGTCCTGCACGCGCGTTCAAAGCTGTTATCAGAGATGGCTGGCTCTATCCCAACGCCAAGATCGCGACACGCTGTTTCCTCGTCCCTGTGCTGGCGCTCTTCCTCGTCGCTATTGCCGTTCCATCCAGTCTGGCGTTTGTCACCAGTCGAACGCTATACCGTAATGCGAATGAAGCGACAAAGAACTTACTCTGGCGCTTCAGCTTCCCGGCTGTGGGACTTGCTTTGGTAGTCATGTGGGCTTCGTCGGCGGTTGTCAGACTGCTCGTGAGATGGAGGTTGGTTGTTAGGGATGAGGTTTATCTTATAGGAGAGAGGTTGCACAACTTCGGGGAGAGGAAAGCGCCCGTTCAGCCTGCTTCTGCTGCTACTCCTGCGGTGGGCGTCGAGGGTGTTGATGTAGGCACGCAGACTGGTTAGTTTCGCGGGGTTGTCGGTCGGTGTGTTGTTGTTTTGGGTGTAAGAGTGGAATTGCTGCATATCCTTTTCATTGTGCATTTGCTTTTGATGGATGGTTTAGAAAGGACGTCAGTCGTTTTGTCGGCTGGCTAGCTAGATAGATAGTCAAGTCTTGGTATCTTAGCATGAGTCTCACGCTGCTCATTCTTGTTATGTTCACCTAAATTACTGCCCTGTGAAATTCATCAATGAGAACCCATCAGCTTAGCTAATGTCTATGAATGAGATGCTGCCTGAAACGTGACCCATCACAATTCTGTGATCTTGTAGAGCCACAGCTGTAGCCCGGTACTCTGCTGGAAGCCAGATTATCTCTTCGCTGCCCTTTTTAATTCTGTCATGACTAACAAAGAGAGCATGCCTCTTGGTGGTAGCGTGAGAAGAAGGACTCAAAGCAAAGGAGGTAATGTCCAATACACCCCTGTCGGTCTCAAGATACCGACTGCAATCAGAGAACGACACACTTTGCAGTCCAACGCCAGTGTGTATTAGCCCGCGTGCTTCCCTGGTGTGAACATCCCATATCCTTACGGTTCCGTCAGCCGAGCAAGACACAAGCCATCGATCATCCGGCGCAAATGCGACCGATTTGGCTTGATGGGTACAGCCCGGTATCGTGCCGTTTGATGATCCGTCTCTGTTCCAGAGCCTGATAGTTGCGTCTTCTGAGGACGACGCAACGAGTGCGCCGTTGAACGAAAAGGCTACTGAAGTAACAGGAGCAGTGTGACCCTGGAGGCTTATATGACCTGTCTTACTCACGACGTTCCATAGCGCCACCGTTCCATCTGTCGAGCATGACGCGAGAATTTTGCTATCCGGTGAGAAGGCAATGTCGTTGCATGACAGTGTGTGAGCTTCGAGCATGCCCACTATTGTTCCTCTTGCTGTGTCCCAGACTGTAGTTCGCCCATTGGCGGAGCACGAGGCTAGTAGTCGACTATCTGGTGAGAACCGTATGTTCGATATGGCGCTTTCGTCGCCGTTGAAAGTGTATAGAGCTTCCTGCAAGTCGACATCCCACAGTATTACAGTGTGGTCGGAGGATGCAGAGGCAAGCAGCCGAGAATTGGGTGAAAATGCAAGACAGGCTATTCCTTTGGAGTGGCCTTTGAGTTTCCGAGAGCCCTCGGCGCCGTTGGGCCAAATCCTGATGGTGGCATCTTCAGAACCTGAAGCCATTGTTCGGCCGTCGGGTGAGAAGAGTAAGCAGTTGACTGTGCTTGAGTGCCCCTTGGAATCTTCCTCGGTTACGTTAAGTTCGTCTATATGCACGCTGTCCACCATCTCATCGGGAACGCCATGTTCGAAGTCGTCCAATTTCTCACGTAGCGTCCAAGTTCTTGTATCCCAAAGCCGAACTTCATCGTCAAACGTACCGGCAGCGAGAAGCTGACCGTCGGGAGAGAACGTGAGAGCGTTGATTCCGCTTGCATGGTCTATGGTGTGAAGGGTTGCCCCGCTGTTTGGATCCCAAACCCGCACAGTCTTATCTTCAGAACCAGAAACAAAGAAAAGGCTGTCTCGAGAGTACATGAGGGCCATTACTCTTCGCGTGTGTCCTCTAAATGTCTTGATCTCCACTTCTTTGACTGTATCCCACAGCTTGACTGTCATGTCGTCTGATGACGAGATGAGCCGGGGCGCAGTGGGCGAGAAGCGGACCGAGTTGACAGCGCCGGAATGTCCGTCCAACACCGCGCGCATATCGCTCGTCTTGCGTGAGATGTCCCACAAGCGTACCATTCGGTCTACAGAGCCTATGGCTATGAGCGAACCGTTAGGTGCGAAAGTAGCCGAATTGATGTTGGCGCCTTGGTTGTTGATGCGCCTAAGTTCTTTGCCTGTAGCCGCGTCCGTTAGGATCAGGTTTGCGTCCATCGATCCGGATGCCAGCACTTTCCCGTCTGGTGAGAACACCACAGAGTTGATCCAGCCTGTATGTTCCTCCAGCGCGTACCGAACTTCTCTCGTTTGGAGGTTCCACACTACTACCCGGAAGTCGTCTGAGCCACCTGCAAGAAGTTTGCCATCTGCAGATATAGCAATAGAGCTGATCTTGTCTGTGAATGAACCCTCAAATGTACTTATTGTCGCTCCTGTTGCAACGTTCCAAAGTCTGGCCATTGCTACGTTAGATCCGGACGCGATTTGTTTACCGTCAGGAGTAAACGCAAGGTCATTGACGTAGTTGAATTCATCTTTGGCTGGGGGGATTGCAGCTTCGGCAATTCTGAACTCTCGAACGCAAGGATGCAATAGCGTTCGAAAATGCTTCTTAAGTTCGTTCGTAGAGGGAATGAACAAAAGAGCAGCGCAATAGATCTGAAGTGGTGCTTGTTCGTTGACTGACTCGTAGGCGAGGAAGAACTGCCTTGCACTCTTGACAAAAGGTCCCTGACGCTTGTTGTGGGCAGCCTAAAGGGCAAGTTAGCATCTACAAGTAACTTCCGACAACGCGAATGGAGATACGTACGACGAGCAGCGAATGGTACAATCTGATGATTGCGCTCATCTCATGGCTTTTCCCGAGTAGACAGATGACTTCAAGCCAATGAAGGAAGTGGGTTTGAAGGAACTCGTGAAAAACGTCGTCATCAGTAAGATGCGCGCCGCTCTCTTTGCAGTGTTGCACCCAGTAGAGACACGCATATTGGAGTTCAGGGGGTATGCAAGCCCGTATCCGGTCGGGATCAACGTCTTTGACAAGAGTACCTGGTGATTCTAGGTTGCATATATCTCTCTTAAGCATCTTCGACATGACATTGATGCAGCTGTGAGCTAGAGCTTGATGCGTTTCTTTTTCGTTGACGAGGAAATTGGTATCACTGCAGCGACTTTCATCTAGAAGGAAGTCGCGAAACGTAGGATGATGTAGACGAATCGGAGATGATATGTCGTTTGGAATGTAGAAAATGGAACGCAGATCGTGCAGCGTCTCTTGGACCTGCAAGAAAGGTACTTCTAGCAAGGCCGCTAGCGAGTTCATTGGGAGTGGGAAGAACAGCAGCACCACACTTCCAAGTACTTCCCTCAATTCCTCGCAGAACTCCTGTTTTTCGTCGTCATCACAGTCCTCGGGGACGGCATCTCGGAGGACAGTGGTGTATATCTGGTCCAGTTGCTGCTCAGGTCCTAGCCCGCCTCGATCGCCATGTATGAGCTTCGATATGCGTTTCTTCACTAGCGTAAGAATCCTGGCGGCGCGAATATAGCGACAAGCTGTAGAAGCCCAGATGAAAAGCCCATACGAGATCTCTACCAGGCGTTCGATAGTCTTCCTGGCAGGCCAGTCAAAAGACAAGCCACGTTCTTTACGGATGTGCGTGAAGTTTTCCTCAAAGAAGAGCATCAGATCGCGGTTAACCAGATCTTCTGGTATCTCATGGAGGGCGTATACCTGCTGCTCTGCATCCGGGATGTGGTCAAAGCCTAGGTGGATCGGAGTCTCTGGTCTGCTTGTGACAAGAACTCGTAGTCGAATCTTCGTCAAGCTGCTGGCGGTCGCTAAGACTCTCAAGATAACCCGTATATCTCGTTCCTCTGCACATTCGTCTAGCGCGTCTACTATGAGTATTATCGGAGAGGGAGACGAGCCGATGTCGAGCTTTGACAGCGGGCCAAGTACCAGGTGAGCCCATTGATCGCGGAGTGAGGCGTTCACGATATCGGTCTGTTCCTTAATGGCTTCGCAAACGTAGCGTTTTGCGGAAGGTATGTTGTTCGCAAGTTGCCATGCAAGCGTTGTCATGAACTTGTCCGCATTCCTGCGATCTCCACCTCCTTCGGAGAAGAAGAAGGTTGCACCCAAATTTCCCCGATCGGAAAAGTCACGCGCGACCGTGCGAGCGACAGTAGATTTACCGGTGCCTGCTAGCCCTTTCAGCCAGAAAACGCAAGTCTCCTCAGGGCTCTGAGCCCATTGCTCGATTTCGCGGATGAGTTCCACTCTCGTGTTCGGAAGACATGTTGCTTCATGCTCTGTATTGCGTGAATTGAAGGCTGCATCGGAGACGGTCGGTAGCGTGGACAGAAGACGATCCATCTCGACATCGTCAGTCGTGTTGATCTCACGTTGTAATCGAGTCATTGCGTGATCTCCTTCCCCGTAAATAGTGGGCATGAACACGTTGAATATACCGAACAGGCAATATGCCCTGTCTTCCTTGCGTTTTGTTACACGGTTCTTCGTCCATGATAGTCGCTCTTCGATACTGAGGCTTTCTAGAGGCGCTCCTTGGAGGGCATCACGGGGTATATCGGTTGCCTCAAAAATGAGATCTTCAAGGGAATCTCTATCACCCAGTTTCTCGCCGTCGGCGGAAAAGAAATCTACGGATTTTGGGGCAAGGAGTTCTTGGAGCGTCCATCCTCGTTTAAACCAGTTGCTATTGCGGAACTCAAACTCAAAGGTTGAGGACTTGCTTTGACCGTGGTCCTCTCCAGCCGCACATGTGTGTACGTCCGTCAGATATGCGTATGATTTGGTAGCGTTGCGATACCATGTGAAAAACGAGTTGATAGCCTCCTGGAGCTCCACGGCGTTGTGTTTGTTGATGCAGCATGTGTCCACCCAAAAGTGCTCAAGACCGTCGCGCGCGGCTTGTTCCTCACAGAAGCGGATTTTGGCGTAGCCAGCGGGCTTCTTTTCTGCAACACCTAACAAAACATCTTTGAAAGTGAGCTCTTGATCATCGTCGCGTAGCCATGTATGCGATAGTATGGCATATTTAGGACGTGCGTCCTCGGGAAGATCCTTGGTGAACTCGAGTTTGCCATCCCTACTACGTCGAAGGAGCCGCATGTTGCGCTCAAGGCTCTTAGCACGCTACGGTATCGATGAGGAAATGGCGGTATGCGTTCGTGCCTGAGGCGTCTGACGTAAAATTTGAGTCTCGGTGCTTCGTTGAGAGATACTGCTGAGAGCCGTGTGGTTCGAGCAGTCCACCATAGGTGCAACTGCAAATATCGCTACGTCCAAGGCCAAGTCATCCGACAGTCATGCTGAAGATGAGCGCGTCGACTACATTCTGTTATGGACGCTTCGGTACTATCTGCCTATATCCGGCTTGCCGAATTGGTGGCAACGTTCTTGGAGGATTACGGCGTACTCGTAGCGGGTGAACAAACGAATCGCGTCGAAGGCCGGGTAGCTTATCGCGTGTGATGCTTACCGTGGCAGGGGACCTCTCGTTGCGCTCTCCAATCACTGCTTGCAACGCGGGTCGAGACCGCATTTCGATGCATTACATCTGTAAGCTGGCGTCCAATACTAGTAGAGTAATCTTGCCACACAGTAGATCTTATCCAAATCCGGCGTTCGTATCACCGAAGGATTCTGCCAGCGTACTGAGACAACGCCATCTATATCATCGTGTAAGTAGCCTTCCTACATGCTGCACGGATATGTCTAGGATCGCGCATAGTACTACAGTACTCCCCCCTGTATATCTAGAGAGATCCCGTGACACAAGATGGGCCTCAAAGCTTCGGTTGCCACTGTCCGTCGGCCATGAGAGCCTCGCTGAGCATCTCGCTGATGTAAAGAAGATGCCGATCGCGACATCTTCCCGCAATAATCGAAATGCCGACTGGCATGCCGTGAGTGCCCGCAAAGGCCGGTACATGTACGACCGGCACGTGGAGACCCTGTGTTAAATTAGTGGCAGCTTTCCAGCATTACGCTAAAGCAGTCACTTGCCGTCCATAAGGTGTTGAACATCGGGCTGCCCATATCATCAAGCCCCAGTGGGGCCTCGTCTGCAGCGCTTGGTGCAAGGATAGCTGAGTAGCTCGCCGCTATCCCATCGAACATGCCACGAAGACATACATGCCTGTCCAGAGCCTGCATTCTTTCTGCATTGGCATGCTCAGGCTTGTTCTCCACCAGATGACAGATCGACGCGTCCAAATTGGCCTTGTCCATTCGATATTCTTTTAGAAAGGCGACTTTGGCCTCAGCGTTCGTGATTGCCCTTTGCGACCGCCTCAAGGTATCTGCGTCGCCAAAATCGTCTGGCAGTGACACCTCCTCTACTCTTACGCCGTGATTGCGCAGTATTGCGGCAGTTCGTTGCATGGCATTGATGGTACTAGAGCCTGCCTGGGACCACATGGGTGTTTTGAGAAGAGCAACTGAAACATCTTTCCGTGAAAAACGCTCTGGTGGCCGATCATCCTCGATACAAAAGACGTCTGCTAGTAACTGCAGGTCTCCAATGCTACGAGCGAAGAAGCCAATAGTATCAAATGTAGTCGAGAAGATCTTTTGGCCCTCAGTGGATATGGCGTTGTGGGTAGGCTTCATGGCAAATGTTCCACAGTAGGACGCTGGACGAATGACGCTTCCACCTGTCTGTACACCCAGTGAAAGCGGAACCTGCATATCAGCCACTGCTGCAGCTGACCCGCATGAGGATCCGCCCGGTGTCCTAGCTGGATTGTGCGGGTTTGTGGTTGCAGGCCCCGAGTTTGTCACCGTGAATTCAGTTGTCGTCGTTTTGCCTTGGAAAATGTCAGACACCATCCCTTAGGAAGTTTGCGTTGACGAACCGATAATGAGAGCTCCTGCAGCGCGTAGTATTCCAACAGCAGACGAGTCAAAGCCAGGCTGGTGTCCCTTGTATATTGGGGAGCCATATTGGGTGGGCATATCTGGGGTTTGTCAGCCTCCGGCAAGCGAAGGAGCGTATGTGAAGACCTTTGGTGTTCATTACATCTTTGATACCTACCGCCACCCCATGCAACGGCCCTCTCTGGTCTTCTGGGATCCGATCCAGCTCTTGAGCTTGACGCATAACAAGTTCCCCATCTAAAATTCGATCAGGTTGAGGGATGTTTATACGCAGAGCAAGACTCACCGAGGTGAGCCCATGCTTTTACAACATCGTCTCGGTCGCGGATACGATCGAGAAGAGATTGCGCATATGCCTCGACTGTTGTGGCATTAGTCTTTAGCAGTTCCAGTACTTGCACTGCGGTCCGTGTGTGTAATGCAGCTGATGTTGACATTATAGACGACTTTTCGTGAGGTGCAGTCTGAGGAGGGGTAGGGTACGGGATGATGGACAATTATCCTGCGATAGCGTGCATGGCCGATCCTTATGTAAAGCGATGTCGAAGTCGCTAACGTTGCAGAATGTATGTCATCCTACCGCTTGGAGGATCAGCTGTCAGACCCCACCAATCATGTGAAGTACCTGCTGAGGCTGTCCCCTTCGCCAGATTTTACACAGCTGCAGTTAGCCACGGAAGCGACTAGATTATTAGCTCTCTTTTGTCAGCTCCTGGTGCTGCGAGACATTTGTATCAAGCGAGTAGGAGATTCTGATTGCAAATTTGGGGAGAATCATTGCCTTCTTTCCAGAGCGCCGTATATAATGCAAGTTGTACGATAATACATGGTATACACACGTGCGACAGGCGTTCCCGGTGTGGTCCGTCTAGAAACCTGGAGGGTTGAGTCGTTGACTGACTCTCGTCCATTTTGGCACCTCTGTGGGATGTCAGCGACTGCAATTTCAGAATGTACCCTATCACGGGCGTTCTTGATGCTCCTTCTGCCGCCACGAAGCTCTGTCCCAAAACACTAGAAGTATGCAACTTACTGTGTATTCCCTTTCGATACCTCTTCACCTTACGGTCGAAGACGGTGTATTTGTCCTTGGGCAGCATCTCCGCCTCGGTCGGCATCTCCATCTTCCAGCGCTCCACCTTCTTCATGCTTTGTCCCATACGTCGCAGTGCGGTATCGAGTGTGCCGACCACGGTGTCGACGTGCCGTAGGCGCTCGCGCTGCCTGTACTTCTGATGTCTCGATAGCCGCCATGGTATCTTCCTATGGTTTTGTCAGCATGCAGTTCCAGATATTGAGTCGTGAATGGCAGAAGGTGCATTGGAGCGTTCAATGCGATGGCGACAATGCGCAATTGCGCGGGGTCGACGAATCTGGAAATGTAGAGAGTCGCACCATAATAGACCGCCCGATAGCGGGTTTGTGAGGCGGAAAGGACCAAACATGGTGATGTGCTGGGGTTGGCGATGCTGGACTGCGCAGTCGAAGTCGCGATATTCTTCCAGAGACACTCCCGCGGACTTTCTTGGCGGACGTGCCGATTAGCGTGGGGAAGCTCACCAGTACACCCCACACGTTGTACAGCTTAACACCAAGCTACACTTACGACGATACGAATTACGAATCCTGGCGCCTCTATTTTCGACATCAGTAAAAGCAAGAAAGATTGTACTAGGCTAGATCACGCATCCCAACCTGGGCCACGCGGCGCACGCCAAACACTCTACACGTATACCGACGTACAACCTCATACCTCACCATGTCGTACACATTCTCCATCCTATCGCCTCTCGATGTCCCCCTCTTCACGCACGACTTCGGTACCTCACGGAGCGGCGGCACCGGTGTCGCGAACTATACCCCTGCCGAACGCGCCCTTGTCCCCTTCATCCTACACTCGTCACTCGATATAGTCGAAGAAGTACAATGGGGTCCTTCTACATCCAGTGGTTCCGCGCCCATGTACCTTAAGCACATCGACAAATACCAGAACTGCTTCGTGTCGTGCTGGATCACCGGCGGCAACACACGCTTCCTCCTACTCACAAGACCGCGGGACGAAAGCCTGGGGCTGACAAGTGGAGGTGCTGGAGGCGCGAGGGGAAGTCTAGCGGGTGGAAGAGCTGCTTTGGGAGGAGGTGCTGGTCTATACAATCCGAGTAGCCCAGCCACGGAAGAAGCTGTTAAGAACTTCATGGTGGACGTATACGAGGCATGGGTCAAGACCATCATGAACCCCTTCTTTGCTGTGGGCAATGGCGAAGTCATTAAGAGCCCGGTGTTTAGGCAGAGGGTTGCGACTGCCGCGAAGAAATATCTATGAAGGGAGAGAAAGCATCACGGAATCACCGATTCAACAATGGAGATGACCACAGGCGCGAGGACCCATCTTATACCCGAGAACATGGTGAACGGCACAAGAGCAGTTCAGATTATTGCGACCTTATTGGAGAGTCTCGACCAGACGACTGCTGAAAGGTCTCACTTTCCCTTCGCAGCGACGCAAATCCGAGACAAGGCAATAATAGCGGGAGCCTCTGAGCTAGTTTCAAGCCTTTACACTGAACAGGTGCGTGGCTATTGATCCCCGTGAGGCTATTAGGAGACCTAGCCAAAGTCGATTTCCCGCTTTGTCTGGGTCATGATAGTTGAGAACAGGAGGATCAATATCCTGAGAGCCGATGCGATGGAGTCTCTGTCGCGCACGCATCTTTTGATAAGCACTTTACTGGACTGATATAATGCATTGGGCTTGCGCGCAACCAATCCCCTGTCTATATAGTATCCTAGGTCACAAACAGCTACTAGGTCAAAAAGTGGATACTCGTCGTTTGCGTCTCGGCATTCTGTTTACCTATTATTCAAGGGACTCTACCTGCAAGCCTAAGACGTGAACATAGAGGTCTTACCTTGCTTACGCATCCTCGAATCTGTGGTCACCATGAGTTGCGCCTTTACCTTGGTCCCGTTTGTAATCGCGCAGATCTCTCACTCACCTTCACCTTGTCCAAGCTGGTATATCACCAGTCCATCTACCCACCTTCTCCCGCTCGCAACGAACTCTCTTACCTCACACTATCCAATACCTTTGCCTTAACTTCAACGCGTTGCGACTCTCAGCATGGCATCGCAACCGGGCGAAGTCAGTGCCGCAGATAAACGGTGGCTCACTTTCCGACAAAAGCACGACGCTGAACTCAAGGGCTTCCAACGGCACGCGAATGAGTCTTTTGCCAAATTTCAGGACAACGTCACCAAGGAGCGAGCCATCATTCTCGCAAAGCACAAGAAAGAAGAGGAGGAATTCTGGAACAAGGCAAAGGCGGCAGCGAACAAGGAGAAGAAAAAGGTTGGTAACATGGCTGCCGGATCTAAGACTGCACTCCAGAGTCAAACGAATCGACGCGTAGCTGCTGCACCACCGAGAGCTGCTCCCATCATCAAGAAAACGCCGGCGCCCAGGCCCAAAGCACAATCCATATCCAAGCCAGCGAGCAACACAACCGCACCGGTAGCAGGACCGAGAGACAAGAAGGCCGCTGTCACGATCATTGATCTTTGTTCCGACGAGGATGACGATGACCCAGTGTTACTCAAGGAGAAACCTGCATTACAGATCGCTGGGCAGAAACCTATCGCGAAAGACCTTCCCAGCTTGTCTGGCATCTTCGGAAACGCGGTAAGTCGGTAAATAGCAAAAGCGTTCTTGCCCTAGGCTAATTGATATAGAATACGTCAGAGGCAGAACAGTTAAAGCGTGAACACAATGTCCTCACTCAGCAACCCTCGTACCCAGTTATACAACCGCCGACGCTATGTACAAGTAACAGTAACACTTTCGGTGTGCACGTCTCGAACTCCGTCGCCTCTCAGCATGCGCCGGCAGCTGTTCTCAGTACACAACCGAACCTGGTAGGGGGCGTGGGTTTTGGCAACTGGGCGAATGCGTCTCGCATGCCAGATGCCCGTCAAGGAACAGCATTCAATGTTGGAGGTAGACCATCATCGGCTTCCTCTCCGTGGGCTACCCCCACAGTTTCTGCTTCACAACGCCTACAGTCGACGAGCGGTTTGGCTTCTTCTAGGCTCTCTCAAGCCCATCAGCCAGACAACTTTCAACCGCAACAAAGTGTAGGCCATCAACAAGGCCATTCATCGTTGTTCCGGGAATCAACTTTCCACGGCCTTCCTCGAGACGACTGCGGAGCTTTGCGAAAGGAAGGCCATGCTTACTATTTGAATGGCTCAATTCAGTCTTCGGGGGACCTTGGACGTAGAGACAGGTTTGGTCATGATTCTGTCCCGAATCATGCAATCGAAAGCGTGGAGAGCGACCTTCGTAAATCGGTTTCGAATGGTATGGACACGATGATGCATGAAGCTCCGCGTAGTAAGCTTACTGTCTTCGATCTTATAGTGACTGAACTAACGTATACATAGCTCCATCAAGACCACAGCAGCACACTCCAAACATGTTTCCATCACCTCAAGACACGATCCTCGTATTCACTCAAGAGAGCCCTCGCACCCCAACCGCAGAGCCACTTACCCCTACCACTCCTAAGAATCCCAGCTTCAGAAGGCCATTCCTCCCAGCCAGTGCCACCAAAGACAGTATTGCGGTTGCTAGGGGTGTTCGGGCTGGGTCGCAGGTATCTACTTCTACGCCTACTAATCGCGCCTCGAGTGTTTCGCAAAGTCAACGCGATGCGTCAGTGGTATCGCATACTTCTTTCTCTTCCCGCTCAGGCAGAGGCAAGCGGAAGGTGGTGGATCTCAGCAGCGATGAGGAGAGTGACTATGCCCCGCCGTCTGATGACGAGGAGCCCCAGTCCCCTGTTCTGACGGACGAGGCGCTTAAGAGTGTGAAGAAGCAAACATCTAGGCCGGCGACCAAGAAGGCTAAACTTCCTCCAGCACTACCACCAGCTTTATCATCAAAGGGTGTGTACAACAAGGGAAAAAATGGCTTTGGCTTCACAAGCTTGCAGAAATCGAAACCCAAGGTCAACAGCCAAACTGATGTGGCATTACCGATCACCCCACCGCGTGTGCCCACCAGAAAGCCTCAGCCAACTACACCATCCACACCAACACCTGCGTCTCAGATGTCCAAACTCGTTGCGTTGAGGACTCAAGGAGCAACCGTATCGCGCTCACCTCGAAAAGCCAAACTTGATGCATCTGCAAAGATCACCCAGCTTAGCGAAGCCGAATTACAAACTCGCACCAACATTGCTATCGAGGAAGCGAACCAGCGAGAGGAAGCAGCAACTGAAGCAGGGATCTTCGAGCAAGTCAGAGGTGGCATGCGGGCTATGTCCATCACACCCGCACCTAGCACCGCTGGCAACGCTGCAGAGGACGTAGAAATGCTGGCCGACATTTCCGACTCTGAGACCACATCCCCGAGACACGACGCTGGATTGGACTCATGGACAGACTCTCGCTTCAACGGCGACAGATATCTTGCCAAGTCCCGCGCTGCTCGGCCTATAGTGGAAGACGACGAGGACGACGACTATGATGACCCGGACATCAGTAAGTATAGCGTCATCGACGGCATTATTGTGCATGAGGCGGATCAAGGGAGACTGAGACTGACGGAAGAGCAGGAGAGGCTTATGAGATCAAGAGGGACAGACGGTGGCAGTCGCGCACGTGCAGTGACCGCGGTTGAGATACCGGAGCATGATCAGGGTATGGCCGGGCAGAGTGGGAGGCGCGCAAGAAAGACTATGAGGTGATAAGCACGGCAATGAAGTCATGGGGATTAACTGAGAGCTACGCCTTGTACGATGTACTTTGATTGAGACCTCCCTGTCGCAAGAGGGTTTGGCTCTGGAAATGTCTCTTGCAGAGCAGGCTGTATCGAAGTATCCGTATCTTCGTCTACTCGCATGAAGTTGCGATATGCTTCGCACTAGCTACATTCCATCATTCATCGAAACTTTATACGGTTCTTGCTTAGCTAGTGGTGACAAGAAGCTGGTACACAGTCGCAAATGGTATCACACTCTAACCCATCGAACAGGTCAAATCTCTCTTACGTGAAGGCAAAACGAACAGCCCCCAGCTAGCCAACCCATCCACAGCTTACTCACAATAAAAGCATCCAGATCACCACAGCCTGCAAACAAGGAAATGACGATGCGCCGCAGCTTATCAAAGCCACCGAATCGGCCAAACAGACACACTAGTTCGGTCCCCCGTTCACGCACACGCATCTCCATTCTCCTAAGCTTATGACAGCAAACCGCCCAAACGCCTTCCCAGAACCCGAATCTCGACGCTTCCAAACATCTCATCTACAGTAGTAGTAAACGCCCTAACAATGTCAATAGTAAAAGGCAAAGCTTTTTCGCCCCGCAATGGCTAAGATACCTAGCTCACTAGCTCACGCGACCAGCCAGCCTCATTCAATTAGAAAAACGGACGAGCTCAATCAACCATCTGATCCTGCACACTCGAGCCAAGACGGGGAAACGAGCATCAACGACGCCAGAAAAAAACGGTCACGGTGCTAATACTTTTCAACGGTTTGGCAAGTCGCGCCGAAGATTAACGTTTCAACGTTAGGTTAGCTGTTTTTAGTGCGGAAAGTGGGCTTTACCAACGCGTGACTGGCTGGCTTTAGGTGCCCGGAGTTTTTTTTGGGGGGGGAGTGGAGTAGCTGTTAGCTAGTCTAGCTAGTGATATAGTTGGTTCGGAGTAGTTTAGTTCGCGCTTTTCTAGGTTGGCAGACTTGCAGTGGAGAAGAAGGTCTTGGGAGTTCGGTTCTTCTTGGTGTTAGCAATCGGGGCGGCCGTGAGTGGATGGGATGACGAGAGTCGAAGATGCAGGTTGCGTAGGCGCAGAAGCAGCATTGTGGAAGATTGATCTGGGATACTGCGAGACGGGATAAAAGGCGTTGGCTAGAAGGAAGAATTGTTGCAAGTAGAGTGCGCAGACGGAGAAAAGCATCTGTTTCACACATGAGTATACCAAGAGCCTTGGAACTGCCGTCAGCGCGAAAAGCGAACGATATGTCAGCCCATCTCTGGTTTAGTTTTGACAAGCCAACTAGGCATATCCCGCCCAGTGTGACATGCCCTCCAAGCACCATCGCTGCAACTTCGGAGAGTTTTTCTTACGTTGCTTTGGAAGACTAAGAGGGAGGGGTGTGCCTTTTCCGACTACTCCTAGGTTCGCAACGGTTTTACCGTTTTCTGCGCCTTCGTCGGGGGGTGGTTGGCAGCAGGCAGTTGGGTTGGGGTCCTTTCCGCGCGTACCTCGTCTCGCGTGCCACATGCCACATGCATGCATGGGTAATTTCGGTCTCCAACGGCCCCCAACCGTTCCGGCAATCGTGTCTAAACCGCAATCAGCCTGTTCTGCCCACACACCCCGACAACCGTCGGGTCGCGTCGCGTCGCACAACATTGCATTGCGTTGCCGTCGTGTGCCTGGCCTTCTTTGATACCCTGCCCTGTTGCGTGCGGTGCGCCCCCCTCGCCCCTTACTACCCACACCTTACCCACTCTGAAAAGCAAATCACCCTTGTTGTGCCTGAGCTGGGTAGTCAGGCACCAGGCACGCAACGCGTAGACATGAGTGGTATTCAGCCACGCGAGACCAGGCTCTCCCGGCCTGTCACTTGTCCGCCTTCCGCTTTGCAAACGTATGGGGGAGGGATGTCCCTAGGGGAGAGTATCGACCGAACGACTATCGACGTGATTTATTTGTCTCGGACAATATCACGTCGAGCATGCATGGAAAGGCTTGCGTGCCGTGCCGCTGTAAGTGATCGTGACTGGCTGCTGGGTGGTTCATGTGGGTTCTCTTCTCGTTCGGTGCTTTGAAGGATTGCGGGCGAACTGGTCAGCTGGCTGCATCTGGGATGCATCCTCCGGGTCTCTCTCGATGATACACAAAACGCCTCTTTCAAGGTTTGGAGGAAGGCAATTTACGCTGGACTTTTGCCGGATTGTAAAACGCTCGCAAGAGATCACTTAATGTAAGACTGCATGTTTGTTTTTGAAGTGTCTATTATATGTCCAGGGTAGCAACAACTAGCCCATCTACCGAATACTCAAAAACAATGCGCAATATAAACATATCCGAAGACGCAATCATAGCCGACAAGACTCCTTCCTCATGCCATAGACAGCGTTCTGAGTCATGCTTTTAGATGCTTCCGTGTCTCTTTTTACCGCAGGCGCCAAAGCCCATTCGCACAAAAGACGATCGCTCAACACGCTTTAAACACACAAGAAAGAACAGACCGAAAACCGACCGAGAATGTCGCAAGAGATCATAACTTGCCGACGGGTATCAAGACGGTGGTGGGTGGCCGAGATGTATCGAAAAGAGAGAGAAGCAGTCGTCGGCAGATGAACGACCAGTCTGAAACCCAATACAGCCATGATGAAACATGGGTGTAAGCAACAGCCGGGCCTGTCGCGAAGGATTTGGTGCCGAGTCGAAAAGGGTTGTCAACCCCGGTCGTTCGTAGGGGCTCCCTGCAAGTGCCGAGAAAGTGGGTCAACGGGGCGGCTGCCTGCAACCAGGGCATCCGTTTGGAGCATGTGGCCTGAGACTTCTTAAGGAGAGCCATCGCGCCTCGCCTTCTTGCTCTTCTCGATTCTCTCGTTCCACCGTCTCTTTCCAACGCGAGTCTCGAAATGTGGGGCTACTTGGGTCACATCTTGACCTTGGCCCATCATGCTACTTCTCATCTTGTTGCGGTAGGCATCAACTGTTGATAAGGTCAGTAAAACGTTCTTCTTTACGCCAAGCCATTGACTTACGAGACTTTTGCAGAAACAATGTCCTTCCTGCGAAAACACGACTCTGGCTCCAGCTCATGCGGTAACCAAGATCATTGAGCGTAATCTCCTTCGACCGCTTCGCACGAGTAAGACGCGGCTTCGGCACACGGGTCTCGCCATCCAGCGTTGGAACAGGCACAACAGTAGAACCAGCCAGAGGGAAGCTCGGGTCGCTCTCAACATCAGGCTCATCAGCAAAGACCTTGCTGCCACGGGGACTGGCAGGTGGAGAGGTCATCTGCATGGCAAAGTAGCTACGAGGGAATACCGAGTTG